CTTGCGGCTTGTTTTTATAATTGCTGACAATTCGTAACTATAAAATCGAATCGCAAGGCTCGAATAATCGTATTTCATTCTCCCCAAATTGTCCACAAAAGTGGACAATTCATAATTACAAAAACGAATCGCAAGGCTCGAATAATCGCATTTCCTTCTCCCCAAATTGCCCACAAAAGTGGACAATTCAGGAAGAGAAGATACGATTAATTTGACTCTTGCGCCCCGTTTTTATAATTGTTGACAATTCGTAACTATAAAATCGAATCGCAAGGCTCGAATAATCGTATTCCCTACTCCCCAAATTGTCCAGTTTTGTGCACAATCCGAGCGTCAGTATGGGAGACATTACTGTGTTTCCGATGATTTCTCCGGCTATAGTAATGTCTCCCTAATTGACGCTCAGATTTTGCGCAAAGATGGACAATTTGGGAAGAGGAGATTCGATTATTCGAGCCTTGCAGCTCATTTTCATAAAAAGAACGAGCTGCAAGGTTCGAACAATCGTACCTCTTCTTCCTAAATTGTCCAATTTCGTGGACAATCTCAGCGTCAATTAGGGAGACATTACTATAGCCGGAGAAACCTGCCCGCGGACGTCCCGAAACTTCCGATCGTTCGCAATTCGTGACGATCTCGACGGCCAGTTGTTGGTTTGCCGACGGCGACCGACGTAGAAACCGCCGGGTTTTTCCTCCCCCCGCCCCCCAACTCCCTCACCATCCCGCGGAAATTGGAGAACTCGGGATTCTAAGTTCGACGAAATTCGGAGGAACTTCCGGGAATCGTGATGTCAATTTAAATGGTGATGCGATATAAAATATTGAAATCACCTTGAAGTACTACTACTACTGCTACTACTACTACTAGTACTACTATTTTTACTAATACTATTTCTATGTCAACATTCCTAACAATTACAGGAAACGTTATCTGTTATCCTGTTATAAAATATAGTGCAATTTTCTTAAAAATAACGAAAAGTGAAAAATACCTGCTTCTCGTAGTTATGGCTTAGAATTAGTTTCAAGGGGTTGAGAATGCACAGCGTCGTATAATTATTATACCTCGGAAACTGCAACAAATAAAAATTCGATTATGTTTACAGATGCATATGGAATTATAATGGTGGCAAAACATCTATTATGTTCAATTATATTTCGTCGATAACACGTATTTCTTATTGTCGACTATTTTATACTGTATATATAATATAGTATATAGTACATATAGTATAGTATATAGTACATATAGTATAGTATATATTATATAGTATAGTATATAGTATATATAATATAGTATACAGTATATATAATATAGTGTATAATATATATAGTATAGTATATTGTATATATTATAGTATGTATAGTATATATATAGTATAGTACATAGTGTATAGTATATATAGTATTTATAGTATAGAATATAGCATATATAGTATAGTATATAGTATAATATATAGCATATATAGTATAGCATATAGTATAGTATGTATTATAGTATATAGCATATTTAGTATAGTATATAGTATATAGTATATATTTATACAGAATAAATAGTAATACTAATTTTCACTAATCTTTTAATTCACGATTATTCACATCGTAAAGATACATTTATAATTTATTTATTCAATTTCTATATTATTCGCTTGTTAGAAATCAAAATAAACGTCTCATTGTTACGTTTATAAACTAATATGAAACAGCTGTTGTTGTTTTTTCGTGCTCCGTAAATCTAGCGTTAACACGTGCGGACGATATCATTGCCAGGTGTGTTTCGCGATGCAACAACGGAACCGTGCATAACGGAACGCGCTGGAGGCAGAAAACAACCGGTAATTCCTGGAATTACAGAAGACGTCGTACACAAGTCGATGAATATGTATGAATGTATATCTTTCGAAGTTGATGTTGATCAATATTGTTGTCGGTTATTACAGTGCTGTGAAACTTGCGCTGTCGGCTTCGCTGCAAACCATGAACCATAGTCTTCGGGTTTAATGCGGTGACGCGTTAAAAAACATAGCCACTGATATTGTATGTTCTTCATATTTTCTTATGTGACCGCTAAAAGATAAGGTTTTTCATTAAAGTAATTTTAAATTTTAATAATTCAATATTATGTAATATATAATATTATATTTAATTTAATATTATATATTATATTATATTTAAATTAATATTATATATTATATTATGTATTTAATTTTATATTATATATTATATTATATAATAATATTATATATTATATAAAATTAATTTTAATCATTTTAAATTTTTCCTTTAAATAACGTCGTAATGTGTGAGGCGATAATCGGATAAGATACTAAAAAATATAAACGGTGCGCTAAAATTTTCCGTCCAAATGAATTTCTTATTCTTGTTAAGCGTTGTTGCAACGCGATCGAAATGACTCTGTTCCGTGACTTGACATTTCTACTTTCAATATTTACACTAAATTCACTCTCTCCGATCATTCATTAACCTCTCGCACTACAGAGTGTCTCAAATTATTGTGCAAGTTGAAAAAAGAGGTTCCCGAGGTCATTTGAAGCAACTTTCTTCTTTACAAAAATTTTCTCCGAGGCTTCGTTTACGAGTTATTAACGAAAGAACAGAGGCCCATGACAGGCGAGCTCGGCTGGCGCTAGGCTGGCGCCAGGCGGCCGAGCCAACGAGCGGTCGAAGCTCAGTTACGCCCATTGGCTCGGCCGCGTAGCGCCAGCGAGCTCGCCTCCCATTGGTCACCGTTTTTCGTTAATAACTCGTGAACGGAGCCTCGGAGAAAATTTTTGTAAAGGAAAAAGTTGCTTCAAATGATCTCAGGAACGTAAAAATGCTCTTCTTTCGTCGTCTCAAAATTAGTACGCTCTCTTTCATGGCGTCGAAATAAGGCTATATTTACGTTTAGTGGTAAATATAGATAAACTGTTCATTTCATTAAATTTTCAAATAAATATATATAAATAAATATATATATTGTGTTTTTACATGTAAAGGGATATCCGCTTTTGTATTTGTTTCGTTGCTAATCACTGTGTTGATTAAGCGGATCGGAAATAGCGTACTCAAATGTATTCGCCGCACGAACTCGCGAAATGGCCGAACTTATGAATCTTCCGATAATCAGCCGGACAGATCTTGAAAAATGCTAGGATGTAGTGCGGCTTAATGTTCGGCAACAACTTATACAAGTACAAAAGCGGTTAAGCTACACTTTCAATTAAACAAGATGAAGGATGAAATGACTGCCAACAGTGGATCGGTCGGATAAATTGCATCGTTGGGTTTTAATAATAGGTGCCGGGTCACTTATAACTTATGGCACGAGCGTAACGGAGACATTGCATGTGTATTCATGCGCTCCGCTTATTATTGATCTACAACCACCGCATTGTTTTGTATTCTTCTTTTGTACGTCGCGATTATTGTTATTAGAGAATCTTGATATTAGAATAATAATTTTAATAATTTTAATGTTAATATCTTATAATATTGATAATTGTGATATTAATGTTTAATAATTTTAGTAATTATAATACTAATATTTAGTAATTTTAATCATTGTGATATTAATGTTTAATAATTTTAGTAATTATAATACTAATATTTAGTAATTTTAATCATTGTGATATTAATGTTTAATAATTTTAGTAATTATAATACTAATATTTAGTAATTTTAATCATTGTGATATTAATGTTTAATAATTTTAGTAATTATAAAATACTAATATTTAGTAATTTTAATCATTGTGATATTAATGTTTAATAATTTTAATAACTATAATAGTAATACTTAATCATTTTAATGATTGTAATATTAATATCCAATAATGTTAATGGATTCTAGAGAAAGATTAAAAAAGGCCTATAAAAATGAATTATTCGAGCCTCGCGCTTCATTTTTAAAATTGTTAACAATCGGCAACTACAAAAACAAGCTGCAAGACTCGAGTACAGTAAATTCTCTCTAATTCGCGCCGAGATTTCGCACAAAAATGGACAATTTTGAAAGAGAAGATACGATCATTCGAGCCTCGGCGCCTCATTTTCACAGTCAACGATTATCAATCACCATAAAAACCTGCCACATGGCTCGAACAATCGTACCTCCTCTCCCGAAATCGTCCATTTTCATGCGCAAATTATGAAAAAATTACCATCCCCGTCGCATCAAACTCCTTCGCCGCCACAAAGACCACCCCATCCGCCCCCGAAACCCTCTTAAACCATACCCAAAAGACCATATTCCCAGAAAACTAGCTCACGAAACTCGCGAACGTCCCTTCGCCCCCCGCATCGTCAGAAAAACCAGCGACGCGGGGGACGCGGCTGTATTTCAGCGCGGCCTTTTGAAGCGGTCCAATCTCGGCGCGATAGCAGAGTAGAAGACCCGGCCTCTCTGGCAGGCCCTCGAGCAGACTATTTAGTATAATTCTGCGGGAGGGAATTATCCCGTAGAAACGATCCCTAATTGTTCCGAAGCGAGACGGCTGCCGGAGTCAGCCGGCTTTGGATTTGGTTCCTCGGCGCTCTCTCGAAACCTCGTGCACACACCGGCCCGAGTCTCGGTTCACAACCCCCGACAACGGGATTCACGGACGCGCGCGCGCGCACGGGTGGCCCAGGTGAGACCCACACAAGCCCGCGGCCGTTGGCTTTTGTTTCGAACCGGGGGAGATAGAATTACGAGGGTGGCCTGTTGCCGGTCGGCTTGTTTTCCCTGGCACGTCGACGTCGACTCCGACGCCGGCGGCCCGCCGCGGTGCCGCACGGCCACGGGGATGCATTTAATTTCGCGCGTTTCATTCCCCCCGCCCCGCCCCGCCGCCCTCCTCGGCCTGGATACGTCGCAGGATACGTCCTCCTCGTCCTCGTCCTCGTCCTCGTCGTCGTAGTTGTCGTAGTCGAGGACGACGGGGAGGCAGGAAGGAAGAGGGCCAGGTTAATGTACGGTCTACGGGGTCGGTCTTTTCAGCCGGCGGGATCTAAACGGCCCTTTCTGAATAAGACGCTACCGAAGACGGAAGCGAGGCGGATCCCCGGTTACACGGAGAAACTCGTAAATAATTTTGGCCCCGGTGCTTTAGTTAAAGGAGAGAACCTTTTTCATACTTCTTTCCTACCAGGGCGCGCCGATCCTCCGGCTCTGTCGCGCTCCTCCGATGGAGCTTCTTCGAGCCCGATGAGATATCCGGCGAGAAGATGCCTTCCTTCGTCGTGTCGTTTCATCGGGTAGTCGGCTGATTATTCTATGAACGGCGAATACTCGCGGCCTGATCCTTTCTGTGAGCGGCGCGGGAATTTTGAGGGGATTGGGGATGTTTTGCGGAACGACAATATTTTTCAGCGGGGAAATTGTGGGGATCTTTTTTTAGTTTTTAGATCTTTTTGCAGGGGCGGATTTGTTTGGGAGAGTTTACTGTGATGCGGGTTTTATGATTGATTTTGATTCTATTTTGTATTTAATTTTTATTTTGTTTTATTTTATTTTATATTTAATTTTAATTTTATTTTATTTTATTTTATTTTATTTTATATTTAATTTTAATTTTATTTTATTTTATTTTATTTTATTTTATTTTATTTTATATTTAATTTTAATTTTATTTTATATTTGATTTTAATTTCATTTTATAGGTATATTCTTGAGCTACTTTTGCGGGAATTAGTTCTTTTGGGTATATTTTGCGCGGGTTTTGGGAGCGGAGAGGGTGGTTTTTGAGGCGGCGTAGGAGTTTGACGCGACGGGAATAGTAATTTTTTCATAATTTGCGCTCGGTTTGCGCATGAAAATGGACGATTTGGGAAGAGGAGATACGATTGTTCGAGCTTTGTGGCAGGTTTTTATAGTGATTGATAATCGTTGACTGTGAAAATGAGGCGCCGAGGCACGAATGATCGTATCTTCTCTTTCAAAATTGTCCATTTTTGTGCGCAATCTCAGCGCGAATTAGTGAGAATTTAATGGATTCGGGTCTTGCGGCTCATTTTTATAGTTACCGATTGTCAACAATTATAAAAATGAAATGCGAGGCTCAAATAATTCATTTCTATAGCCCCTTTTTAAT